GAGTAAGACCCTCGATGAGATGGATTGATTCAGTGACTGGGGTAATGGGGTAGGTGTGTCAGAGACAATAAGATTGGCACAAGATAGAGCAGGGTTTAAGGCTATTGTACATAGGATCACTATGTATCACAGGCAACTTGATGGCACAGAACAACAACAATTAATACACTCATTCATATGCATTGTTTCATTCATGTACATTTATTTTCATTCTGTATGTATGTTTTCATTTCTGTAATTGCTATTGTTCTTCTATCTCTCTATCTCCTCCATCCCCCCATTACACCTTACCTATATCTTCACCCCTATCCTCATCCTAATCTCTACTGTCCTGGTGATTTCGTCTCCTTTCTTCCACTCCCCTTCTCCCTTTTCCCTTTTGAACAGTTGTAGCTGTCTTGTTCCTATTTGCTAATTGCAATAGTTGTGTCATCTTTGTGTCTGTTCTTCTCATGTTGACCCTACCTTCTCTTGCTCTTGTGGTGGTCTTTCTCTACCCATTACATTCCTATACTGCCCACCCCTGAATTATCCTCCTGTTGTCACAGTAGCAGTTTTATGCAGTATTTGCCCCTTTGTGACTGTGTTCTTTCACTTTACATAATGCTCTCTAGATTCCCATGTTGTATCATAATTTATGAATGCTTAATGCTGTGTAATATTCTATGATATGAATGAATATACCATCGTTTCTCTATCCATTCATTTATTGATAGATATTTGAGTTGTTTTCATCTTCTTGCTATTGAATAACACTGCTGTGAACATAGGTGTACATATCTCCATGTCTCAGTTCTGATTTCTTTGGGGTATTTTCCTAGCAGCTAGTGGAATAGCTGGGTTCTATAAATTTCTGTGTTCAGCTTTTTGAGGAAACGTCAGACTGCCCTCCAGAATGGTTGTACCATTTTACAGTCCCACCAGCAAGGCATGAGAGTTCCAGTCTCTCCACATCCTCTCCAGCCTTTATTGCTATCCTATTAAACTTTGCTAGAGCTACTGGGATAAGATGATATCTCATTGTTTTGATTTGTGTCTCTCTGATTTCCAGTGCTTTTGAACATTTCTTCAATGTGTTTCTTGGCCTTTCTCAGTCTTGGAAGCAGTGTTTACACTGGCTTTGATAGTTTCTCAACCAGCAAACAAGTGGAAACCTGCTGTGGGCATGTGGGTGCCCAGGCAGTGCCAGCAGGGAGGGGACTGTGCTTGCTGGGATGGTGACATGAGCAGCCAGTTCTGATACCGGAGACCACTTACCCAGTTCACTTTCAATCTGTTCTGGTGGGTTTGTTGTAATTTGCCAAACTATACCTCTTTTGTACAGTACAGTTGCCTAACCAGGCTTTGTTTCACTAACAGTTGAACGGTTGGTGTCCAGTCATTTGTGAGGATGCAGTGACACTGGTAGATTCCCAGCAGATCCCCTTATAGTGCTGTTTTGACATTCAGGGACTTCTAGAGCCCAGCAGTTGACTTTTGACCGGGTTGGGCCCTGCCTCTTTCTGTCTCCTTTGGGCCTGGTCACATCTCCCCTCATGAATCTGACCCTGCAGAATTGGCGTCACTGCGAACAGGGACTAGGTACTGCCTCCTTGCCTTGGAGTTCAATGTTGAGTGAATAGACAGGAAATTGAACTCCGTATGGGACTCCGTTTATTGAATTTATCAACTTAATGGAGAGTGATACCATTTTTTAATATATTTTTGAGTTTATAACTCAGTTTGCATTAAACCTGCTCTCTAGAGTTTTTAAGGACTGCAACCATGTTCTTGTAGTTCTCGTCCATTTTTTCGGGGCCTGAGGATTTGTTCAGGGTTAGAGTGGTGAGAGTATTTCAAGGGAGCCACAGGCTTGCTTTCTTGCACCAGCTGGATTGGACCTGTGCAAATTTACTCTTCACATGATCATTACCTTCTTACCTGAGCTGGTGCTGGGGAGAGAGACACAGGCAGAAGTCAGTTTTTTAAGCAGAGACCAAGTGGACCTTTCACAATCAGAGCTGTAGTAGTCTCTGGGGAGCATAGGCTGCCCTTCAGTGCTACAATTCAGAGGGTGCTCAGACTTAACCCATGCATTTGCTGTTTATCACAGTAGAGCCTTAGTTCATGAAGAACCTGTGTGAAAATGCCATCTCTGATTACTCATAGGTTTAGGGCTCTGCAAGTATGTTTTTAAGATGTGTTTCTCAATAAGAGAGATGCAAATCAAAACCACAGTGAGATACCATCTCACACCAGTAACGGTGGTAAAGTTTAACAGGACAGCAAGTTATACATATTGGAGAGGATATGGCAAGATAGGAACTCTTACACATTGTTGGTAGGATTGTAAAATAGTACAACCGCTCTAGAAGGCAGTTTGGCACTTCCTCAGAAAGTTGAACATAGAAATTCCATATGACCCAGCTTGGGACATACCCTGAGAAAATGAGAACTGAGGCAAGAAATGAGAACGGAGACTTGTACGCCAGTATTCATAGCAGTGTTATTCAGTATGGCGAGAACATGAAAACTGCCCAGTTGTCCAAGCCACAGTCAATGGCTTGAGAAATTATGGTACATTCATACAGTGGAATACTACACAGCAAGGAGGAACAATGATTTTGTAAATTACTACCTAGTTTGGGAGGGACTGGAGAGCATTATCCTGGGTGAACTAACTCAGTCCCACAAGGACAAATACTGTATAAAACCGTTATTGTAGAATGAGTATGAGGATCCAAGGGGATGGGGAGGGGCAAAGCAGAGGGATGAAGATGTGCAGGGGGCATTAATCATGGGGTTGTACAATTTGATGGGTGGAGGGGATGAGGGAAATTGGAAGAATCTGGTCTAGTATTCAAGTTTTATAAATAAACTAGTATAACAATAAAAAAAAAAATTAGTTCCTTTCCCTTTTTTTATATTTTCTTTTCATTGTTGTACATTTTCTTACCCCCTACCCCAGCCTACCCCACAGTGCACCCTTGTTCCAGATTGTTGTCATATATATATAATGACTAATCATATATTCCTTTTGGACAGTTCTCCTCATCTGATCTAATACATTGTTCATTATCTGCCCACTCTTTTTCCATTTCCTTCCCCTACCCCCAGTCCCCAATGTCTTTCCTATTTTATAACTGCAGTGTTATGCAGTATGTGTCCTTTTGTGACTGAGATATTTTCATTTGTTGATGGGCCCTTGGGTCTTTGCTGGTGTGAATAACGAAGCAATAAACATGGGTATGCATACATCTGTTTGAGTTGTGGCTCTGGTTTCTTTAGAGTACATTCCCAATAATGAGATTACTGGGTCAAATGGTATTTCTGTTTCCAACTCTTTGAGAAAGCACCAGAACTCCTTCCATGGTGTACCATTTTACATTCCCAGCAGCAGTGAATAAGAGTTTCAATCTCTCCACAACTTTACTGGCATTTATTGATTGCTGGCCTATTGAACTATGTTGCTAGGGTTCCTTTTCTTTTTTAAAAAATTGTAACAGCATACACAACAAAACAGGCAATTCAACATTCCTACATATGTAATTCACTGACACTGATTCCATTCTTTTCACTGACTCTCTTTATCATTTTCAAACTATCTCACCACCATTAACATCAACCCATTATTTGTTAGTGCCGCTGTTACAGAGATAAGTTACTGTTAGGTTCAAATATGACTCATAATGATCCTATGAACAACCAACCTGAACCTTCCCCTTTCCTGTGTCATCCTTATTATCTCTGAGCCCATTGTTGGAGTCACTGTGTCATTCTGTCTGGTTGAGAATCTTCCTCTCCTTCGCCAACCCTCCATCTTTCCAAGGTTGGTGTCCCTTTCCAAGGAATAGTCTCATCTAGCTACATGTCCAGTGTATGAAAGAAAAAGCTTCACCATCTTTTACTTCAAGGAGCACTCTGGCTGCATCTGCTCTAGGACATACTTGTTCTTTTGGTAGTCCATGGGATCTTCAGCACTCTTTTCCAATACATCAATTCTTCTGTTATCTTTGGCTTTTCCTATTTGCTTAAGATTCGCTGGGCCACACAAATTATCGTACCTTCAACTTTACCTCCTCTTTGGCTTAAAGGTTAGCAGTTGAAACTCACCTTGAAAGACAGACCTGGGAACCCACTTTGGAAGAAACACAGCCTTGAGAGCCCATGAAGCAGCTCTGCTCTGCACACATGCAGAAGCTGTGAGTCCTCCAGACCTCCTTCAGGCAGCTCACAGCTGAGAAACTGTGCTTAGGGAGCCAAAATCACTCATGCAGTTTGCAGTTAGCTGCTAATGAACCTAAGTTAGGTAGCACCCCCAGTGACTACAGAGGAAAGGCCTGGCACTCTGCCCCCTGCAGAGTGCAGTCACAGAAACATTCTGGGTGTACCATAGACTCTTAACAAATGGGGTGAGTTAGAAGCCAAAACTGACAGCAGCTAACAATAACATGTATTTACTTACTTCTCATGAGATCATTTGATAGATGTCCTTTTAAAAATTTTTTAAAAATTAAAAAAAATTCATTTTGTTCAGCAAATTTTTAAGGTTCATCTAGATGTTTTCCACATATGTCTGCTTCTTCTTTTCCCCAGCTACAAAGTGGTCTGAAGACCAGGCTAAGTCCCAGTTAGAGAATCTCTGTATACCCTGTAGTGACTCTTGCCTTGGAAGACACAGAGATGTGGTTTCCTGTGGGGTTTTGTTTCATAGAGATGGCACCTGGGTAGTCAGTAGGGGCCAGATTTGGCAGGAGGCCATCGAGCTTCTGCATGATCCTGCCCTTGTACACTGCTCACTCTTGTCAGGAACATCCTCTCCTCTGCCCAGCTGCCTGTGGTTATTTTTGTGAAAGGCCTCCCTCCTGCCCAGCTCTTGCTTCCTCTGGGAAGTTTGCCCACATGTCATTATATATCTCCATGGCTGCCCAACAGCCTTTAGGCAGGGCCTGCTAGTGTGACTCCTAAGCAGGGGGAGCTTGCTGGGTGGTGTAAATCTCTCCCCCCGTTTTGTATTTCAGTGAGGATGCCATGAGGAAGGCTGGCGTGGCCCACAATAAATCCAGCAAAGACATGGAGAGCCATGTGTTCCTGAAGGCCAAGACCCGGGTAAGGCCTGGTGAGGGGAAACTATATGGCAGAGAGGCCAGCTGAGAGGGGAGGGGTGCCCTGGACTCTGGTTGGGGATGAAGTGGCCACATACCACTTGATAACTGCATTTTGGCAACTGTACCTACCTGATGCTCCCTACTTATCTTCAGGTATGTCTGTAACAGAAAGGGCCAGTTACTGTGCAGACCCAGCTTCACCTCCTTTGGCCACTCAGCTATTCTCTTAGAGGGCAAGCACTCCAGACCTCGTCATAAGCAAGTATAAGTCTCAACTTGCCCTCCGTATCAACTTCAGGAATTCTTTCGCCCAGCCCCATGATCCTAAGGTGGGCCTAGAAGGTACTCAGCACTGTTTCTCCATGAGAAAGGCTCAAGAGTTAGGCAGTTAAAAGTGGATGGAGGGAGGGAACCTCCAACTTCCAGTGCCTGCCATGCCCTCTCCTTGACTCTGAGTGAGGGACTGGAGGGTGTATATTTTATTAGAAATGAGGCACTAGGAGAAGTCAGGGGTCTTTCTCAGCTCTTAGAGTAGGGCAGATATGGCAGTTGTGTGGAGCGTGTGAGCCTCATGGGCCCTCAGAATGTCTGTTCTCCTCTGAGCTCCTCAAACCAGAGGGCATTGTTGAGCTTTGTCCACTTGTGTGGACAGATCCACTGTCAAAACATGGAGGAGCCAGTTGGAGAAATATGGGTGTTTATATGAGATGAAATTGTTTTGAAAGAGAAAGGTAGAGGTCACTGGCCAGAGGAAGTTGATTATAAAACTGAAATAAATCACAAACAACAAATACTGGCGAGGTTGTGGAGAAACTGGGACTCTTAATTAACTGTTGGTTGGAGTGTAAATTGGTGCAGCCACTATGGAAGGCAGTATTGTGCTTTCTCAAAAAGTTGCAAATAAAAATGCATGGGGGGGATTGTATACCAACAAAGAAGTTTATCTTTTGCTTTTCAAAGAGAGGAGCGAACTGGGAGGAGGGGGATAAAGAAAAAAGTAGAATAATGAATGAATGAAAGTCCAGAATCTCTGTAAATGTTCATTAAAATGAATTTTTTTAAAAAAAAAGAAATATGATTTGACCCAGCAATTCTTCTACTGGGAATATACCCTAAAGAAACCATAACCGCCACCCAAGCAGATATATGCACACCCATGTTTATTGCTGCTTTGTTCACAATAGCTAAGAGTTGGAAACAACCCAAGTGCCTAAGTTCCCATCAACAAACAAATGGATAGAGAAACTGTGGTATATTCACACAATGGAATACTATGCTGCATTGAAAAAAAAACAAGGAACTCATGAAATAAGACACAAAATGGATGACTCTGGAGGATGTTATGCTGAGTGAAATATCTCAGTCACAAAAGGAAATACTGACACCTGGGTTGGGGAGAACTTAAGAAAAAGAGGGAATAAATAATGTATACTGCATTGAAACAGATGAGAGAGAGAACTGTTTTATGACAGGAGTCCAGAATGATGGTGGAGTCGACTTGTGGGGAGGGATAGTATAACAATGAAAGAATTTTTCTTTTATTTTTAAAAGAGAAGAATGAACTGGAGGGGAGGGGCATACAGGGAGAAAAGTGCAACAGTGAATGAATGGAAATCCAAAGTCTCTGTAAACTTCCATTAAAATTAATAATAATAAAAAACAACAACACCCTGATATGTTGTGGCAAGAAGCTGCGCTGCGATCCCAAAGGCATACAGTTTGAATCCACCAGATTCTCCGCTGGAGAAGGAGGGGCAGTCTTCTCCTGTACCACTTGGATCCAGTTTGACAGAACGGGAATACAATAAAAAACGGAAATAAGTTTGCCCACTTGGATCTTAGGTCTGGAGTGGATGATACACGTGGGTATGGATGAATATACCATTGAAGTGCAGCATTGGGCTCCACACCACTAGGACAAACACTTCTTAATGAGATGATCGTGTAAAATAAGGATTCTTTTTAGAACTCCACTCTATTTCTTGAGATACATGGTGTATATCTTTGTGTGGTCTTTTGCCTCGGTTATTTGAAAAAAGCACCTTGGGAGATTTCCCACTCCCCACCCCTTAAGGAATTACCTTTGCCCTAGAAATAGTTTGAGGCTCAGGAGACACCGGGTTGTTTTTTTGTTTTTTTTTTTTTGCTAGAAAGGTCACCTTTATTACGAAAAAGGAATGCCACACACTGGGTTACCTGGGTTGTTTTTAACCCTAGAGGATTTTTTTTACTTTTGTCTAGATTAATTTACATTTTTTTGGTAAATGATGAACAACCTGATAGCCTTGGTCCTGATCTGTAATCCCACTGGTCTGTTTTACACACCTTGGCTGTTGACCAATGTGCTGTGCAGATAATGACTTGAAATCCACACAAGGGGATTGAGTGAAGTGTGGGGATTGTTTCAGTTCATGGTCCTAGTGTTAGGGCTATGCCTTGACATTGACAGGAAATTTGCTTGCTTAAGATACCACCCTGCAGAGGCTTTTCAGGGGGCAAGGAGTAATGAAACAGCAGAGGACAGCAACCTCCTAATGAGGCTATCATATGGACCAAGGGCAGCAAATTGCAGCTAGTTAGAGGCCTAGGAGAGGCCCTAAGGGAGAGGTGACTGTGAAAACAGAAAACTGCTGCTAGGAAACTAAGCTGATGGACTGAGCCATTAAGTAGTAGAATGGCAGTTGTGGGAATTCTGAAGGCAGAGAGGAGGCCTGCGGGGCAGAGAAGAGGTCTGCTGAGAGGAAGCCTTGCCTGCTTGTGTGGCTAAAGGCAACTGAAGAATGTGACCATATACTCTATTACCCTTGGGAGAGGCTTCCAGGCCTTGCCTGTATGCTTCCTGATCCAAATCCCAACTTGTAGTGAAGTTTCTTAGCCATATGGTAGATATAATGAACCCTACTGGTGTAAGGTTATATTTCCATCCAAAGGTAACCAGTTCAAACCTACCAGCTGCTCCATGGAAGAAAGATGAAACCATGAGAATTGTAGCCTCGAAAACCCAGTGGAAGGTCAGCCATGTCACAGTCAATTCAACAGCAGTGGATTGTGGTTGGATAGAATTTCAGTTTGGCCTTTTGAGGACCTGCCCAACTGTTTTCCTAAGTTTCCCATTCATGCTGGTTATGTGTAGGAAGGTCTGGTGGCCTAGCGGTCAGGAATTACACTACCAACCCAATAGAACATGGTTTGAATCCACCAATTGCTCCACGTAAAAGTATGGGCAGTCTCCTCCCATGCGATTTCCTGCTTCTAAAAACCCGCTGGGGGGGTCAGTTACGTATGAGTTCCAACTCAGCAGTACACAACAACTACTGGCTTTTCTTCTTGCTTTAACCGATATTGTTACTATTCATCTTTTTTGTATTTCTATCTTGCTGGGTAAGAAGAGGTAGTAGGTTATTGTGGTTTGGGTTTGCATTCCCTGATAGCTGAGTATGGAACATTTTACAGGTGCTTGTTGTTGAGTTGTAGTTCTTTCTTTATGTGGGATACAGTTCATCAGATCTAGGATAAGTAGATGTCTTTAAGGATAGAAACATACACTCACGTGAGTTCTTGCTCCTAGCAGTGCTGCATGAGCTTCCCGGGCTGTAGATTGATAATGAGCAGAGATTGCCTATTCTACCTTGGAGCAGCTGGTGGTTAGAAATGCCAGCCTCTCCATTAGCAGTCCAGTACTTTGGCACTGTTGTCACCATGACTCCTTGTATTTCTATTGTTTTGTTTGTATTTTCCCAAGCATACTAATTTTGTATAATAGATTATTTTTATGGGGTCCCTGGATTGTGTAAGTAGTTAACCCTTCTAACTGCTAGCCAAAAGGTTGGTGGTGCAAATCCACCCAGAGGCCCTTGGGAAAAGTCCTGGTGATAGATATGTGCTCCTCACACATCATCCTCTGAAAACAGTGGAGCATGTTCCAGTTCACACGTGGGGTTGCCATGATTCTTCATCAACTCAATGGTACCTTGTACTGCCGTGTGTGTGTGTGTAAATTATATAAGAACTTTGGTGAGGGCTTCTTAAAGTATTTCTGGTTTTGAAAAATGTGGAATTATTTCTGTTGTTGTTGGTTACTTAGTGGCAGACATCTAAAGATTTAGTGGCTTAAAGCAACAGTGATTTATTCTTTCTCTGAATCTGGCTCAGGAAGTGGGGCAGTTGAAATTGCCTGGCTGCACAGCTCTTTTTCCCATTTGCCCAGTGACTTCATGTGGTTGATTACCTGCAGCTGGTGGCTAGGCCGGAAGGATCCAGAAGGTGTCCCTTATGCCTAAATTTCCTGTGAAGTTTCCTGCAGCAAATAGTGCACATGTGGAGGAAGTGTCAGTCCTTGGCATAAGCAGGCCTTGCGTATTCAAGGAAAGGTAGTATCTACTCCTTTTTTTTATTTTTTATTATTTTTCCCCCCTCTATTTCATACTGATTTATTTACAAAGTTCAAATACATTGTTTTTCACATTGGATCTTTCCCATTTCCTTCGCCACTACCCCATCAAACTGTGTGACCCTATGAATAACACACACACCCCTGCCCATCCTCACCCCTCTTCTTTCCCCTGACCCCCCTAGGATCCTCACACCCATTCTACAGTAATGGTCTTTTACAATATTTGTCCTTATGGTACTGAGTTATTTCACTTAGCATAATGTTTTCCATTCTCTCCCAAGTTAGGTAGTGATTTACAAAATCATTGCTCCTGCGTGTAAATGTACCATAATTTCTCAATCCGTTCTGTTGTAGTTGGACATTTGAGCTCTTTCCATGTTCTTGCAATGATCAGTGTGCTTCTATGAACATTGGTGTACACATCTCCATTTGTGCCTCAGTTCTCATTCTCTTCTGGTATATTCCAAGCAGTGGAGTAGTTGGGTCATACAGAATTTTAGTCTCCACATTTTAAAGTGAGTTTCTGTCCATTGTGCCATGTGTCCAGGGCTGTTGAGCATTGTTGAGTGGCCCACAGAGACCCCTCCTGAAGTATCTGAATGTCTCAC